CCATGTTGGATTTGTAAAGCCCCCAAAATGAGAGCAGAGAAAGGGAATGTCGTGATTATCGGAGAGGAGGTTTAATCTGATTTGATGCTATGACAAAGAGCAGCACACTGTCTATGCTATTTCTGGCCTTGCATCCTCTAATAATGAGATGCTGTATGTAGGTGTGGCCATAACCTTTCTTTCTTTGTTTTTGTTTGGTTTTTTCTAGGAGAAATTGACATTACGAGTGACATTTGCATGATGTGCTCTAACCTAATTTCTAACAGAAATGATGTACTTACGTCCGAGAGCTGCTGCAAAGAGATGGGAAAGAAGAGCCACGCATAGGAGAGAGCGTGCCGACGCTGATGGATGGCATTGTTTCTCTCTGTTAAGGAACGATAGAGAAAATCAGTATTCAGTCATATGTCTCAGTCTTTTTGACATTTTCCCTTTTATCTCAATCAATAAAATGCTGCAGGAATGTCACGCAGCACTTAGTAACCTTGGTGCTCAGACTTGGCAGCATTAAAAGGAAGATTTCAAACAATTGCTTGATTGTGTTTGCTTTAACACTAAGAAAGGGAAAGCTAACAAATAACTGCTATGGAAGATTGAAAAAAAGGTACATGAATATTACCTCAAAATTTGGAGAAAGTTCAATCAAAGATCAAACTATTTATCTGCTGTATAGGGACAAATTATATATATCTTTAATGGCATTTTGCTTTAGCTCTTTGAACTCTATATAAGCTGCTGGAACCATAATTTCCTTGAAGGAGTTCTCCCAAGGGATAAATAAATTTGTGTCCAAGTCTAATTCTGATTATATATAAATATTGAAAGATGTCAGGTATTTGTTTGTAAGGCTCCCATTTTAAACAAAGTGCAACAGCTGTATCCCAAGAAAGAAAGAAAGAAAGAAAGAAAGAAAAATCTCGTGTAAATCACTTAAATGATAGTCATTATATCCCAATAGATATTGTGCAATAGAACACACAACTAGAATAGAATATAGAATAATTTTCCCTTGAGTTTTTCATCAGTGTGCATCTGTGGACAAAATTATTGATACCCTCTGTTTAATGAAAGGAAAAACCAACAAATGTCACATAAATGACAAAAGTAATATTAGATAAAATGTATATGAAAATAAACAAATACATTTCAGACCTTTCAAAAAAGGCTTCAACAGAATTATTGCATAAAAAAAACGAGCCTGAAAAAAGTCATGGTCCCTTTAAATGAATGTTTTGTTGCTCAACATTTAAAGTCAATCATTGCTTAATTTTTCCATTTGTGAGTATAGAACTATTGTGCCTTTGCAAAAAAAGTCATTTTCTTCCTCATCTATCCATAGGAGATTCTCCCGGAAGCTTTTCTGCTTGTCAACATGTAGTTTGGAGACTTTTACTCTGGATTTTTTTATGATTTGTTTTCAACAATGGTGTCCTCTTTGGTCGTCTCACACTAAGTCCACTTTTGCTCAAACGACGATGGATGGTGCGATCTGACACTGGTGCTGCTTCAACTTGAAGTTTCTGTTATCAGGTCTTTGATTTGTCATGAAATTCCTCCTGCAGCTACATCTAGAGAGTTTGGTAACACTCCCATGGATCTTACATTTCTGAAGAATTCCCCAAAAGTTTGAAGACTTTTTGCTTCCCATCCAGGAAGCTTTTTCAATTCAAAAATTCCAATTTCTTTCTTTCTTTTTTTTTTTTTGGAATGGCTATGCCTGGTAATCTTCACCAGCATTTCTGAATAATATGTGCAATGTACTGGTGAAAATTCTCAGTCAGTGAGGTCATCGTCATTTCAAAAAAGTGAAGAAGAAAAAAACAATCCACTGGTTTTTGTTTCCAAGTTTTAGATGTTTAGCATCTCATCAAAGAAGCTTTCTCAATTCAAAATAAAAGAAATATGTGCAACTGTTGTCACAGGCTTCTACTTTTAACATCCTTGTCTATATTTATCTTTCTAAACTCCAGAGACAACTCTTTCCTTCGCTTCCTCTGGTCCATGTTGAGTGCGGTACACACCATGTCATCAAACAGCACAGAGACTACCTGTAACCCTATATGTCTGACTTTACTTTGTTCATTTTCACTTTTTTGGATTATTCCTTTTTAGGAGTTATTTCTGAGACCATTGCGGATTTTTCTTTCAATAAACGAAGGACACCAACAAGTTTGTCTTTACATGTCTGTAAATGTCTGATCACACCACCATGCAACTATTTTTTATATTTAATCTATGTAATAGAAATAACATTATGAAACAACGAAGACATAAATACATAATACTGTTGTCGATGGGGTGCTTGTGCATGTAACAGTCCCAACAACCAGAACATATACCGTATGCCTAGTGAAAGGGCAACCTTCATACAGCGTGGCCTTTTCAGAAATTGAATGTGTGCAAATGAAACACAGGGTTTCGGCGGACTCTAATAAATTCGATCTAACCCCCTTTACACACTGCCTTGTCATAAGAAATAATATATATACATATTGTTCCAAGCACATCAGAGTTGTAGATATTTGTTAACTTTATTTGTATATTTTATTTGCATTTGCATATTTGTGTCCTGATAGAATAAAAAAAAAATGTGAGAGAAAACCATTTAAAAAAACAGTCAAAAATCATGTTTGTCTTTTATTTAATCCTTTCAATGGCAGCCTGGTAAAGACTAAATCCAATGTTGACGATACTGGTGATCTTGTTACCGAATACCTCTTGTGTCGCATTTATTAAAGCAGAATTAATGGCGATTCAAGGAAAGTTCTGAGGTAAATTCTTGCATAACCTGACTTTTCTGTTTCAGAATGCTAGAAAATCATTATCCAGAGTAAAATTGAGACCAAAATTTACCGTGTGAAACAACACTGCCCAGTAGCAGAGTTCTTTGGAGTAACCCTACAGTAAGCATGTCCTATTTTTTATCTGAGACTTTCTGAGGTACCTTGTAAGGTTGGAGAGCAAATACTGTGAAGAAATCTCAGTTGAGATAAGGTGGTTGAAGCGCAGGTAGATGTTTAATCTTTTAAACTGGTAGGTNCATCAGTGTGCATCTGTGGACAAAATTATTGATACCCTCTGTTTAATGAAAGGAAAAACCAACAAATGTCACATAAATGACAAAAGTAATATTAGATAAAATGTATATGAAAATAAACAAATACATTTCAGACCTTTCAAAAAAGGCTTCAACAGAATTATTGCATAAAAAAAACGAGCCTGAAAAAAGTCATGGTCCCTTTAAATGAATGTTTTGTTGCTCAACATTTAAAGTCAATCATTGCTTAATTTTTCCATTTGTGAGTATAGAACTATTGTGCCTTTGCAAAAAAAGTCATTTTCTTCCTCATCTATCCATAGGAGATTCTCCCGGAAGCTTTTCTGCTTGTCAACATGTAGTTTGGAGACTTTTACTCTGGATTTTTTTATGATTTGTTTTCAACAATGGTGTCCTCTTTGGTCGTCTCACACTAAGTCCACTTTTGCTCAAACGACGATGGATGGTGCGATCTGACACTGGTGCTGCTTCAACTTGAAGTTTCTGTTATCAGGTCTTTGATTTGTCATGAAATTCCTCCTGCAGCTACATCTAGAGAGTTTGGTAACACTCCCATGGATCTTACATTTCTGAAGAATTCCCCAAAAGTTTGAAGACTTTTTGCTTCCCATCCAGGAAGCTTTTTCAATTCAAAAATTCCAATTTCTTTCTTTCTTTTTTTTTTTTTGGAATGGCTATGCCTGGTAATCTTCACCAGCATTTCTGAATAATATGTGCAATGTACTGGTGAAAATTCTCAGTCAGTGAGGTCATCGTCATTTCAAAAAAGTGAAGAAGAAAAAAACAATCCACTGGTTTTTGTTTCCAAGTTTTAGATGTTTAGCATCTCATCAAAGAAGCTTTCTCAATTCAAAATAAAAGAAATATGTGCAACTGTTGTCACAGGCTTCTACTTTTAACATCCTTGTCTATATTTATCTTTCTAAACTCCAGAGACAACTCTTTCCTTCGCTTCCTCTGGTCCATGTTGAGTGCGGTACACACCATGTCATCAAACAGCACAGAGACTACCTGTAACCCTATATGTCTGACTTTACTTTGTTCATTTTCACTTTTTTGGATTATTCCTTTTTAGGAGTTATTTCTGAGACCATTGCGGATTTTTCTTTCAATAAACGAAGGACACCAACAAGTTTGTCTTTACATGTCTGTAAATGTCTGATCACACCACCATGCAACTATTTTTTATATTTAATCTATGTAATAGAAATAACATTATGAAACAACGAAGACATAAATACATAATACTGTTGTCGATGGGGTGCTTGTGCATGTAACAGTCCCAACAACCAGAACATATACCGTATGCCTAGTGAAAGGGCAACCTTCATACAGCGTGGCCTTTTCAGAAATTGAATGTGTGCAAATGAAACACAGGGTTTCGGCGGACTCTAATAAATTCGATCTAACCCCCTTTACACACTGCCTTGTCATAAGAAATAATATATATACATATTGTTCCAAGCACATCAGAGTTGTAGATATTTGTTAACTTTATTTGTATATTTTATTTGCATTTGCATATTTGTGTCCTGATAGAATAAAAAAAAAATGTGAGAGAAAACCATTTAAAAAAACAGTCAAAAATCATGTTTGTCTTTTATTTAATCCTTTCAATGGCAGCCTGGTAAAGACTAAATCCAATGTTGACGATACTGGTGATCTTGTTACCGAATACCTCTTGTGTCGCATTTATTAAAGCAGAATTAATGGCGATTCAAGGAAAGTTCTGAGGTAAATTCTTGCATAACCTGACTTTTCTGTTTCAGAATGCTAGAAAATCATTATCCAGAGTAAAATTGAGACCAAAATTTACCGTGTGAAACAACACTGCCCAGTAGCAGAGTTCTTTGGAGTAACCCTACAGTAAGCATGTCCTATTTTTTATCTGAGACTTTCTGAGGTACCTTGTAAGGTTGGAGAGCAAATACTGTGAAGAAATCTCAGTTGAGATAAGGTGGTTGAAGCGCAGGTAGATGTTTAATCTTTTAAACTGGTAGGTGTGTGCTGGGGGAGCAGCACATCCAAGAAGGAAACATCCAACCTGGACAAACTGGTGAGGCGAGCCGGCTCTATGATTGGCAAGAATCTGGACCCTCTGGGGACGGTGGTAGAGACAGGGACACTTAACAAACTGGACATTATGAACAATGCCAGACACCCTCTGTACAATGTCTTCACCACTCAGAGGAGCCTGATCAGTGGGAGATTGCTCCTCCCTAAATCCAGGACCAACAGACTGCTGAACTCCTTTGTTCCCCAAGCTATCAAGCTGTACTTCTCCTCACTTGGGTAAAGGAGGAGGTGATAGGAAGAGGTAAAAGGGTCAGTAACCCCCTCCTTTGACATCGTATAGAAAACATTACCTATTGTCACTCGTTTGCAATGTTCTTCTCTCTCCCTGTGACATAACCCAAGCCTAACTACTGTGTAGCCTGTATAATTTTTTTTACTTATTTATAAGGTCAGTACATCTCTGCAGTACAAGTAAAATAACCCAAGTCAGCTACTGTAGAGTCTGTATAATTTCCGCTTATTTATAAGGTCAGTACATTTCTGCAGTGCAAAGTGCAATATCCCACGTCAACTACTATTAGTCTTCTTTAACTCTCTACTGTGCAGATATTTTATATCTAAGGGAAACATATTCCAGAACATTACAACTGTTTTCTTTATTTATGCTTTTTTGTACTATATACACTCTTTTTATATTTTCTGTCATATTTTTTTTAATCTTTAATGGCATCAGGCTTTTGCTGTATATAAGCTACTGGAACCGGAATTTCCCTAAAGGAGTAACCCCAATGGATAAATAAAGTTGAGTCTAAGTGTAAGTCTAAATGATGTTCTTGTACCAATGATGTCATTCATTTTGTGATGGTAAACAATATGAAAAGAAAAAAAAAACAATCATCATACAGTATGTTTTGAGAGGGGCAATTAATAATTGGCTGTAGGTTTTAAGGTCGCACGACTTTCTACCAATAATGGCAAGGTGGTATAAATTAGAATT